TATGTTTATTGTCGTGAGTTGTAAATTGCTAAATCCTTGTTTGGTAATAGTTTAAAAAAGCAAGCTATCGTTGTTAAACTTCACGTGTATTCCCAGCAGCATTTTCCCCATTTCTAATGCATTGGAGTGAAACCACATACTTGATGAATAGAAAAAAAATGTCACTTCAAAAGCTCATATAGCATAATTATCGGAAATGATATATACACTTGACCGTACAGCCTTCCAACAATCACCTCGAAAACCATCAATTCAGCAATGCATTGCCATTTTTTTTTTTTTTTTTTTTCTTGGGGGGGGGGTACCTTACCAACAATCATGGAACACGAGTTGAAGATTCTTTTGTGTTTGTGAGTAGCTGTAGGTACTTAGGAGTATAGCTTATTAAAGTAAAACGATTTGCAACAGCTTATTTTTCTTAATGTTTTATACGCCAACCTTTTTGTAACTCATTTCAAAGTATATAATGACGTTTACTGAAATTTCAAACACCAGTCCTCACCGGCCATATCCCGTTAGCCTCAGAAACAGCCTCCAGCTGCCCATAAAGTATAACCCGCCAAAGCATTAGATTATTATTAGATTATTGCTTATGTAACTCAGTGTTATTTCTTGACATAGGCATTGTTACAGCATTCATGAATAAAAGGGGAATCCCTATTCGTTGAACTAATGTTTCTGAGGTTTGTTACAGACCATTCAAGCCGTAGGTTAGGACCGTTATTTAAACAATGAAAATTAATACTCTTCGCCGGAAATGGGTGTACTAGGGAGAAGTGCAGGCAGCTGTGTATTTGCTTACAGAACCAGAACATCGTTCAGATTTCGGTATGCATATTATATAAATTACTGGAAAATGAGCAAGGCGCCATATAACCCGGTTATTTCAAAAGATTTAATCCGGTCGAATGATTGAGGTTACATTGGCAACATTGTTCAAATTCAGTTAACCCATTCGCGCCGGGTAAAAATGAACAAAAAATGGGGAAAATGCTGTGCTCATTTTTTATATTTTTTAATGAAATTTCTCTACACTAGATGGCTCTGCTTTACCTGATTTCATTTGGCGGGAAAATGTATTTTTATTAGTGCTATGAATATCGATGGTTATTTTCATTATAAACTTTATAATTACTATAATGTTATAAACATTAGTAACAGCAAAATAAGATAACGCAAAATAATTTCGTAAATTAAAGAAAAGGGTAAACAGACGAGACAGACAGTACAAGTGCAAGTGGAACCATCTATGTTTGTAAACAATTAAACAAGTAAACTCGCAGTGAGCCCGTCACGTATACGGGACACCCGGCGTGAATGGGTTAAAAGATCTTATTCAAGTTTTCTATAATCAAAATGATACTTCGTGTTGATTTAGTAATATTGATTATGAAATAAATAAAAACTCGTTTTTTTTTCTTTGTGTGTATTCATTTACTTTTTATAGTTTTCTATATTACCCCCGGATAAACAAACTTTCTCTTGAATCTTGAAAAGGGCTTTCCATTTCTGTTACTTGTCAGCTTTCGTTCTGAAGGATGTCTCTCCTTTTGCATTCATTATTTTCAGTATTCATGGGGTAGGTTGATTATCATACTCCTAGGGTGCCAATATTTAACGCCATCCTTTTTTCTTTTTTACAGTTGCTGCTACGTTCTCGCCCAGGATTTATTAGGTGAGTAATTCTGTATTGGCGTACTGTGTCCATCCTTTTCTCCCCCTCCTCCTCCTCCTACTACTACTACTACTACTACTACTACTACTACTACTACTACTACTACTACGTGGCTTGCTTGACGGGTAGCGCAGATGCGGGCGTTGGTTGTAGGGTTCACCTGGGGATGGACTGACCTTGGCGGCTCACGGACACTTGCCCGGGGCGTGGTGTCTCCTTCTGCACCTCACTATGCGTGGGTGTGGGTCATGGCAATACAGGTGGCCGTGCGGCAAAGGGAACCATGGCTCTGCGCAGCTTGACGGATATCTGACACGGTCGAGGAGCGTCTCCGCCCGCTCCTCGCGAGGGACATTACGTTCGTCTCGCAATGCGTGAGTGCGGGTAGTGGTGCCTTTGGCGCGCCTAAGGGAGCCTCGTCCCTCTGGAAGTTTGATGGATATCTGCCAGGGTTGAGGAGTGTCTCCGCTCGTCTCGCACAAGGTGCTTGCGAGTAGTGCCACACATGTGGGGTTCACCTCGTACGCCTAAGGGTGCCACACTCTAGGCGGTAGAAGGGGTTGCTGAAACTAGAACTCCTTTTGGGGATTTGAAACCTTCGCTCTGCTTTGTTAAACTTGTCGCCACACCTCTCTCCTCCTCTCCCTCCATGCTCCTTTATATCCCTGACATGTTGGGTGTATTAGGGGTATTAGGCCTCCATTTGTAACGCCTGTAGCAGGCTGCGTTCTCTAGGGTGTATTTTGCGTATTGGTAACGCCTGTAGAAGGCTGCGTTTTCTAGGGTGTATTTTGCGTATTGGTAACGCCTGTAGCAGGCTGCGTTTTCTAGGGTGTATTTTGCGTATTGGTAACGCCTGTAGAAGGCTGCGTTTTCTAGGGTGTATTTTGCGTATTGGTAACGCCTGTAGCAGGCTGCGTTTTCTAGGGTGTATTTTGCGTATTGGTAACGCCTGTAGCAGGCTGCGTTTTCTAGGGTGTATTTTGCGTATTGGTAACGCCTGTAGAAGGCTGCGTTTTCTAGGGTGTATTTTGCGTATTGGTAACGCCTGTAGAAGGCTGCGTTTTCTAGGGTGTATTTTGCGTATTGGTAACGCCGGCTGCGTTTTCTAGGTGTATTGCGTATTGGTAACGCCTGTAGCAGGCTGCGTTTTCTAGGGTGTATTTTGCGTATTGGTAACGCCTGTAGAAGGCTGCGTTTTCTAGGGTGTATTTTGCGTATTGGTAACGCCTGTAGCAGGCTGCGTTTTCTAAGGTGTATTTTGCGTATTGGTAACGCCTGTAGAAGGCTGCGTTTTCTAGGGTGTATTTTGCGTATTGGTAACGCCTGTAGCAGGCTGCGTTTTCTAGGGTGTATTTTGCGTATTGGTAACGCCTGTAGAAGGCTGCGTTTTCTAGGGTGTATTTTGCGTATTGGTAACGCCTGTAGCAGGCTGCGTTTTCTAGGGTGTATTTTGCGTATTGGTAACGCCTGTAGAAGGCTGCGTAGTTTAAGGGAGTAAAGGGGGATGTATTAATGTGTGTGCTTATGGCTCAGTGGGCTAAAGGCTGCCGAGTGCTAGTATTGTGTTTGGGTGTTCGAGGCCCTCTGGTGTCGCGAGTGAATAGGTTTTCAACTGTTCCCAGCACACAGGTCTTTAAGGGAAGGTAGGAGGTCTTTAAGGGAAGGTAGAAGGTCTTTAAGGGAATGATGGTTTAATCGTTATAGCGTCTGGGTGTATATATTTTATTATATCAATGGGTTAAATCATTCCATGTTTAGGTAATGTAGGTCATAGGTAGGTCATTCCCTCCTACACAGGTAGGAGGTCTTTAAGGGAATGGTGGTTTAATCGTTATAGCGTCTGGGTGTATGTATTTTATTATGTTCACGGGTTAAATCATTCCATGTTTAGGTAATGTAGGTCATAGGTAGGTCATTTCCCATTTTCCATTTCATATATTCCTGGGATGGATGTGGTATTTCCTATTGCGGATGTCTCTACGTATAATCCTCTTCGTCCTTTCAGAGTGCTGTCTGCCGAGCCTACAGAAAATGGAGAACGAGAAGAAAGAAAACGGATCAGATGGATGTCGGAAAACGAGCGCAAGAAGATAGACATGAGAGTACGGTGCCGCCCATCTGTAATATTGCCAACGGCCAATGAAAATGTTTTATTTTTCTTTCGTATTTCAGGTTTACTAACGGGGCATTCTGTGAAAATTAGATCAAGTCTCCATTTCTATAGTTGTCTTTAGTAGAGTAAGAAAAGGGTTAATGTTATCGAGAGCGACCCATCCATGTTTACCTTACCAGGACCAAAACAAATGTGACACGTAACTCATTGCGATCTATCAAGTAGTCCATGTATTAGGGGAGGGTGGTGCTAGTTGTCACAGGGGTAAGTTGTCACAGCCTCTTTTTCCCCTAAGAATGGTTTGTGATTTGAATGAGAGTTGTTGCCTGTTGAAGTACTTCATGTTAGCTTTCAGTTCATACCAGCCGACATTTTGTTCTTGTGTTGTGTGGAAAGTTATCAACCCAGCCTCGAATGTTTAAGATTGAACACGATTTGTCTACTCTTGGAAAAGCGTATATTTTTGTTATGGTTCACTCATAAATAAAACTTTTTCTTTTTTATTGTGTGCAACAGCTCTATTACAGTTATGTGTGTGTGCTTTCAGATATCATTTTCGACTTTAATCGAAAATATGGGCCTAAATAATGGTTGGCTACCGTTGGGGCTTGTCACAAATTTGTGACAGTTTGCCCGATGGTTATTTATGAACTACTGTGTTTACAAATATTTAAAAATAAAATAGATATATTTCATCAGAGTAATTAAATTTTTATTTGGTTCATCACAACCATGCCAAACCTGTACTTAATTGTGTACTTTTATTTATTCTTTTAAAATTATAAGCAAAAGACAACCAGAGGGTAACTGCCAAAAGAAACTTTTGATGCAACAATTCAGTCAGTGAAAAATGGAATGAGCATACGCAAGGCTGCAGTTACCCATGATATTAATTATCGTACTTTGGCTCGTTACCTGCAGAAATGGGAGGAAAAAGGCACTTGGAGCAAGTTCATATTGGTTACAAGAACGTCAGGTGTTTGAGTGAGGAAATGGAAAGGGATCTTGTGTATTACATTAAAAAAGCAACAGCTATTTTTCAATGGATCACCATAGATGAGCTGCAGGTACTAGCTTTCAAACTGGCTTTTGCCGACAAACTTGAGAAAATAGGCTAATTATGAAGCTGCCTTACCCAACCACTGGTCAGACAAACAGAACTGCAAAAACTTTTGATTTCCACTGTCCTACTTTGGCTGCATTTAAAACAGTGACATTAAACTTTTAAAAGGGACTGATTTTTTTATTTTGGTATATTATGATAAATCTTCTACTGTGGTATTTTCAACTTACCCCGTGACCTGAGACAACATGCCCCATCGCTGGGGCAGAGCCCCCTGGCTAGGGAATAAATAGATCGTAGTTATCCCACAGGTTTAGGTTAGGTTGGTTTATTGGTTAGGACGCATTGTACGATTACCACAGGGGATCTGGATTATGTGAAATCCCGTAGATTTTTTTACCGAAGACTGGGTTTGATTCCCATAGTTAAGTTAAGTTAAGTTAAGTAAGTTCATTTACCACTCTGGCCATCTGCTCAGGCGTGGGCAATCGTGATTACAGTTTTACATATATCTGGCATAGTACAGTATTCTGTGACTACTGTAATTGTAAATGGTAGAATAAAAATATAAATCATACATCATAAAAAAATATTATGCTGATATACTTTTGCAACTGTGTTTACATAACATTGTTCTTTGTTTACGGCAGTTTTACATAGTAAATTTAGGATACAGTACGAGTATATCTTCCAATGTATCAGATGAAATGAAATATTCACATAATTATCTGTACCTCATGTTAGGTGGTCTGAAAGGCTGTATCGCACGACATCCCGAGATACAGTGTCCAAAGCGTTCGCTAGTTGAGTTTAGTCCTTTATTTACCACCCTGGCTAACTGCACAGGCGTGGGCAAGCTGTAGTACATTTAATGCATGGTCATAACATTACATAATGGTATTACATTTGGATATTATCCTATAACATTATGATAATAAGTACTTTGTCAATTCAAGGAAGGGAAACAGTTGCACAGTCCTTTAGGTACTCATCTACCACACCGGCATATAGCTTGGGCGTGGAAAAGTATTAAAACATTTGATATGCAGTCATGTGATACTACATTCCAAATTTAGGATACAACATAATTATATCTTCTAAGACATCAGATGATATGAAGTAGTTACATAGTTCTCCGTACCTCATGCTAGGTGGTCTGAAAGGCTGTAGCACATGGCACTCTGAGATATAATGTACAAGTGTTCGCTTATATTCTTCATTACACAGTTTACACTTAGTTTCTTCGACATTACAAGCTGTACTGACCTGCCAATAGATTCTATATCCAAGCCTGATTCTTGCAGTCACAACATCACACTGTCTTGTTCTTGTTTTATATAAACCATAGATGAATGAATCTTGTCTAAACCGGTCATAGTGCTTTATGCTACAGCTTTCGGGGCGTTGAGAATTGATTAATTCAGTCAAGTCCTCTTTGAAGGAAGCTTTAATGGTGTATAAAATCCTAGAAAGAGGTACCCCAAGATCTATATCTACACTTTGTTTGTCACATGCTGACTTTGCTAGGCGATCAGCATGATCATGCCTAGGGATTCCAACATGCGATGGGATCCACACAAAACGTATATTATGGCCTCGTTCTTTTGCACGATACACGTTTATCCTGATGTCATTTGCAATATTTCCCGCACCTTTGTCTAGAGTGTTCAGAGCCTGGAGAGCACTCTGTGAATCACAGAAAATGACCCCTGAGCCTTGATTCAATAGAAATTCGGTGGCCATGAGTATTCCTGCCAACTCAGTTTGTGAAGTGCTAGCCCAGTCATGAACCCTCCTACAATCCTGGTGCTGCAAAATGCTGTTTTTATATACAACAAAAGCGCATCCTGCTCTGCTCCCAGATTGTAAGGATCCGTCAGTGTAGCATTCATAAGCGTTGGGCAGAGTTTCTATATGCTCACTTATAATTGCAAGTGCATACTGCTTAAGTATAGCAGGGGGGACACTGTCTTTTTGGGGGGCAGTCGTATAATATACACTTAGGTCAGACATTTTCCACGTTGGTACAGAACGTCCATGAAGGGTCTTAGTTATGGGTATGTTCAGCTGAGCTAAGTGTTTACATGTTACTTGTACCCATGGATTTGAAAATGAATCGGTGTTGTCATTCAAAGTTAGCTCTTCTATTCTGTGTTTTAGTTGTCTTTGGAACTCTGTACAGTGGAGGGGTTCTCTAATTGATTTGACACTAAATGTGGTATTTATGTATAATATTCTTTCATAAAGAGAAGGCAAATTAAGTTCTGTTCTCCTATTCACAATCCTTGTTGTTCTAGGGGCACCAAGAATGATCCTCATGGCTTCATTTTGTACACTTTCTAAGCTAGTCAACTCTGATTCCTTGAACAATACTAGGTGCAATGCATGGTAATCTATGACCGACCTTATGTATGACAAGTAAAAGAGTCTCGCAATATTGACATTAATACCATGGTCTTTGCCGACAAGTGTCCTAAGTGGCTTCAGCCGCTCCCATAGCCTTTTCTTCAGGTTTTTGATGAATTCTGAATCATTAACAATCACCCCGAGGTATCTGTATTGACACGTCGGTCCGTAGGCTTTCAAAGATGGCGGGGACGTCCGTAGAGTTCAACAGGCCGATTTTCATGGTTTTTTGTGCTTTTCGGGACAGAAATTTGGCTCGGGTTTTCGAAAAATCGATTTTTTAACGTTTCTTAAATCACTTTCTTCGATTTCTGCAGGTTTCTATTGACATCCAGCGCCATCCATTATCCCCCCCCCCTTCAACCCCCGGTTCCCCACGCATCCCCCAAGATCGTTGGGTAGAGGAAACAAAAAAAAAATCTCATTTTGGAACTTAGTCTCTATGAGTGGGCGTTGCTCTCAGTAACAATTACCTTATTTTCTAGTAAAGAGGAAGAAGATATTTTAAATTGCTTAATTTGAAAAAAATAGTGACGTCATGGATTACCGATTACATCATAAATACATCGCAATGCACCAAAACCATCATGAAAACGGCACTACATACCGAATACAAAAGTGAATTGTACCGCCAGTTTCGACAGCTGAATTCGAAGCATTCCCGTAACTCGTAATGGCAAGGGATTCGGGTACTAAAAGTAGAGAGAGAGAGGGGGAGAGAGAGAATGAGAGAGAGAGACAGACAGACAGACAGAAGTGCTAGGTTTCATGTATTAGAGCGAAACAGGCATCATGGGTTTGCCTTGGTCCTCTGAAAAATTCGTTCCCTACCAGGCATCAAAATATTCAGGTACCCAACACAAGAGTCATCTCATGCACTGATATCACTACAAGCTATTCATCGCCACTGGGTTTAACGTATTATTAAAGCATATATTTCACCGGATTCTCTGTGGCAGCTTCGAGTAATGCTATTTTATTTCTTTAAACTGTATTGTTCATGAAAACCCGCTTCGAGCTGCGAACTTGAATTTATCGCTGTCTAAATACTCGGTGGATATCGCCGTGTAAGCAAGTTTACCCGGGTACCTTTCACAGGGATTTCAGATAAAAAAATCGCGAACTCACCCATCAGAGGATTCCTTGACCACACTCCAGGGGCACAATAAACTAACGAAATACATTTACGAGAGATTTTTTCCTCTACATGTCAAGTAATCCAGACCTGATCTTCCTGTACATCGAAGATTCATGCATTATCAACCTATGAATTACAGTAGAATTTATCTCATGACAACCGCCATGAATATATGAATCTCAAACTATAAGTAAACACCAGTCTCTCCATATACACTCATAATCTAAGTCTTTTTCTTAACAAATTTTCACCTTGACTTCCCAATTCTGGAGATTTCACAAGGGGAATTACCAACACTGACCCATCGAAAGGCACGACGTTGTGATGGGACACTACCTATTCACGTCACCCCCATCTTTACCCTTTTTGCTATTATACCTTTCTGTAGTGCTACATGGCCTTTGAAGTCTAGCCCATTTATTTTGCTTATTAGCCGTTAATCATTTACGCACAAGGAGTACTAATAATGTATGGTATCGCACAGTCAGGATCCGTCCGACATCAACATACTTTCCATCAGTTCATTTGCAATTGATCAAATTAAGGACATATCGATCATGGCCATATAAAAAATACCCGATACTCCAATGTCACTAACCATACGCCTTCTGATTTGTTACACGAAGACAGACAGACAGACAGACAGACAGACAGACAGACAGACAGACAGACAGACAGACAGACAGACAGACAGACAGACAGACAGACAGACAGACAGACAGACAGACAGACAGACAGACAGACAGACAGACAGACAGACAGACAGACAGACAGACAGACAGACAGACAGACAGACAGACAGACAGACAGACAGACAGACAGACAGACAGACAGACAGACAGACAGACAGACAGACAGACAGACAGACAGACAGACAGACAGACAGACAGACAGACAGACAGACAGACAGACAGACAGACAGACAGACAGACAGACAGACAGACAGACAGACAGACAGACAGACAGACAGACAGACAGACAGACAGACAGACAGACAGACAGACAGACAGACAGACAGACAGACAGACAGACAGACAGACAGACAGACAGACAGACAGACAGACAGACAGACAGACAGACAGACAGACAGACAGACAGACAGACAGACAGGCAGACAGAGAAGTGCTTGGTTTCATGTATTAGAGCGAAACAGGGATCATGGGTTTGCCTTGGTCCTCTGAAAAATTCGTTCCCTACCAGGCCTCAAAATATTCAGGTACCCAACACAAGAGTCATCTCATGCACTGATATCACTACAAGCTATCCATCGCCACTGGGTTTAACGTATTATTAAAGCATATATTTCACCGGATTCTCTGTGGCAGCTTCGAGTAATGCTATTTTATTTCTTTAAACTGCATTGTTCATGAAAACCCGCTTCGAGCTGCGAACTTGAATTTATCGCTGTCTAAATACTCAGTGGATATCGCCGTGTAAGCAAGTTTTTCCCGGGTACCTTTCACAGGGATTTCAGATAAAAAATCGCGAACTCGCCCATCAGAGGAGTCTTTGACCACACTCCAGGGGCACAATAAACTAACGAAATACATTTACGAGAGATTTTTTCCTCTACATGTCAAGTAATCCAGACATAATCGCTCCACACCTGTCTTCCTGTACATCGAAGATTCATGCATTATCAGTATACCTAATTACAGTAGAATTTATCTCATGACAACCGCCATGAATATATGAATCTCAAACTGTAAGTAAGCACCAGTCTCTCCATGTACACTCGTAATCTTTTTCTTAACAAATGTTCACCTTGACTTAGTAGTTCTGGAGATTTCACAAGGGGAGTTACCAACACTGACCCATCGAAAGGCTTTCCCTCAATCCCTCTCAAAGGCACTGCGTTGTGATGGGACACTGACCTTCTGACGTCACCCCCATCTTTACCCTTTTTGCTATTATACCTTTTTGTAATCCTACATGGCCTTTGAAGTCTAGCCCATTTATTTTGCTTTTTAGCCGTTAACCATTTACGCACAAGGAGTACTAATAATGTATGGTATCGCACAGTCAGGATCCGTCCGACATCAACATACTTTCCATCAGTTCATTTGCAATTAATCAAATTGAGAACAAGATATCGATCATGGCCATATACAAAATACCCGATACTCCAATGTCACTAACCATACGCCTTCTGATTTGTTAACACTTTGCTTTGTTCACATATTTTGACATAAAAACAATTCAATGTGAGTTTGGTGGTTATGATAGGAATGGCATTATAAAAGGTTTATTGTATCGAATTTCCCATAAGTATTAAATCATTGTCTCGGTGTTTAGAAAGTAAAATAAATTGCTTCACGATAATTTTCTTCACTGATATTACAAATAATTATATTCATACCATGTCAGGCATACAAATAGTTTTAGACCTGGACAAGAACAATACATAATTACATCATCGCGGTCAAACTGAAGGCTACTTGTTGATGAACTTTTCGCATGTTTTAGTTGGAAAATCAATAAAGTATCCTTGCTAGAGTTTACCCAGTGATGCAAAAAAGTCTCTTGGTTATATGAAGTTCTATATGAACCCTAGAGCAGAGGTTGTTGTTATTACTTACTCGAGTTTTGTCCAAAGTAGTTTGAATATCAAGTCTGCCACGCCACCCAACAAAGATAAGTGGTTTATAGTTATGGGTATAGCTATAGTTATAAAGTTATTACAACACACGTTCTTTTGTCGGGGATTTCCTCTCCCTCCTGTCGAGCTTTATGGGGATCAAGACAACAGAAGTGTACCCACAGACATTCAACAATGAAGGATAATTGAGCAAACTCTGCCTTGTTATGTGGATAAGGTTTTGGAAAAAAATGTATATTGTAATCTTTTAAGTTTATCCAGTGTAGTACTTGCATGATTTTCTTTTCACTATCACTTCCAAAACGATACTTTTCCTTTTCCTCTCCTACGGTATATATTGGAACAACTGGCCTTTTTTATTCACAATTTTTATGGATTGGTATTTTTCCTCATTTTATTTTCTTCAATGTCAGGTTTTTGTCTTAGTCGACAATTTTCTCTTTGTGTGTCAAGGGATGACTATCATTTTCACTCTCAATCTGACGTTTTACAACAAAATCGTATTAGCCAAGGTTCCCTCTGTTATGTAAAAATGGAATTAAAAGGAGGATATATATATACGATCTTTTATATTAGAGTATAATTTGAAATCTAAAACATCAAAAAAACATGTATAGAAGACGCGAGATCATTACATAATTCTAGCATGGAAGGATATAATTGTCTGTTTTAAAAGAATTAAAAATACCAAGCATTAGAGCAACAACTGTCACTCATAACATGTAAATGACAAGAGCTAATCTATAAATCAGTTATCACCAAACACAAGATATATACCTTCCAGGCTTTCCGACAAAATGCACCGTAGATATTTAAGAAGATACGCGACCGACAACATGCACCGTTGCTATTGCAGGAGGGATGCTGTCGACAATATGCACCGTTGCTATTGCAGGAGGGATGCTGTCGACAATATGCACCGTTGCTATTGCAGGAGGGATGCTGTCGACAATATGCACCGTTGCTATTGCAGAAAGATGCACCGGCGTTATTTAAGAAGGAACGCCACTGACTTTCTTCTTCTCCTCCATCGCGTCTGCATACCACTGGATCTCGCTGACGATTTTGGCAAGATTTTTCTGGATCCTGTCGTCAGTGCAAACGCCTTCCGAATCGAATTTGCCCACAACCTGTAGAATGCAAGAGGATAGTGTTTAGCCTTATTTACTTTTCTTAACTTAGTTGCCATTGGATTAATTAGTAGTTTTACCTGATCTCATTATTTCAAACATAGATTAATCCTAAAGTCAGCATTACTACTACTAATACTATTAATAACAGTAATGATATTAATTAATGGCATATAAAAAAATCTCACGAAAATATAGGGAATGCATAAATCAGGTGTAGTTACTTAAGGCCTCTAATAATTAACAGCTTGTTAACTAAGTTTTGTGCGCCATCTATGAGTAAACAAAATTAACGATAAAAATAAAATAGAGAGTGCAAGTATTCAGTGCTTTAAATGGGTCAGAAATGTTTGAACCTTCGCGTTTGTTCAACCATCATAGTTATAGATTTTTTCTCCCCTTCCCCCTTTGTACCTTCACCTTAAAGTCAAATATATGAAGAGATAAACAGAAAAGAAAATACGTATAGAATTTTTTTTTTTTTTTTTTTTTTTTTTTTTTTACTGCCCAAGCATTCATCCTTATCTTATAGAACAAAATCAAGTATTTTTTTTTACTGGCCAAGCATCCCTTATTAAATTAATTATATTTCTTACAAGTATGGACACAACAACAAGATGTTGCCAATACTGCGAATCGTCATTTTTAGCATAATAAGTAACAGCTTCTCTGTAAATTATTAATATCAAACCACTATTATATCTGTGATTACTCATGTGCACGTGAAAGAGAAAATGAGAACAGGAATAAAACAAAGAAGAAAAAAAATAACAAAAATAACAAGAACAAGAAGAACAAGAACAAGAACAAAAAGAACCAGACCAAGAACAAGAAGAACATGAACAAAAAGAACCAGACCAAGAACATGAACAAGAACAGAAAGAACAAAAACAAAAAAACAAAATAGAACAACAGCAGCAACAACAACATGCCTGGGGAATGATGCAGACGGAGGGGAGCGAGACCATCCCGAGCTCGCTGAGGAAGGGCCTGGCAGCGGCGGCCGAGCGGATTCCTCCAAAGCTCCCTGGAAATATATGCAAATAAGTCAGTAACAAGTGAATGATTAAGTTTTAAAAAAGTGAATAATAGGGAGATATGAATTAAAAGATTATGAATTAATTGAATTAAGTTTTAAAAAAAGCGAATAATAAGTAGATATGAATTAATAGATTATGATAATTGAATCAGTAATGATAGGTAGTGAATAAATGGAGAGAATAAGTAAGGATAATTGGTAAATAAATAAATGAATGAATAATTAATTAGGTAATTAATAACAAATACATTAATATAGACAAAGAAATAAACAAATACATAATCAAAATAAATTGAAAAAATTGTGAATAAATGAAGAGAAATCTGTATAAATAAACATTAAAGCAAATAAAAAAAAAAAATAGAAATAAGATTTAAAAAATTAAATTATTGATTAATAACAATCCTGTTTGTCTCCTGTTTTAGTTTTTAAAATGCTATAAGTCTCATAAAATGAGGACGGGAATTATGAATAACTATCAATATATAATGATAAGGTATAATTACATGGTAATTTGTGGCGATCTCAGTCCAATAGCTTATCAGATCGTGAATATTAATTATGGAAATAATTATCACACTTAGATGACATTACACTTGCAAAGTCCTTAAGGTTATTAGAGTGATATATACCTTTTAGATTAATATATAAATAAATTAAACTTTGAAAACTATTTTATTTTATTTATTTATTTATTTTTTTAATACTAACATGCGTTTTTTTTTGTTTTTGTTTTTTTCAATTATTACCTTGGCGACATACTTATAGATTTCATACTACTAACATAGATTTAATATAAAAAACTAAAGAATAAAATTTCTTTTTTGTCTAAACTAACAGTTTAATACTAACAAACGCCCCTTAGATTAAAAATAAATAATAATAATAATGATAACAACAATAATAATAATAATAATAAAAATAATAATAAATAAGATAATAAACACAATTCCCTCCCCATCTTACTAACTTACACACACACACACACACACACACCTTCCCTTCACCATACTAACCCATGGAGTAAGTGACGATAGCGCAGGGTTTGTGTCTGAACGCAGCTGGAGGAAAATGGTCCATAATCGACGTTAGCGCAGGTGGGAGTGTACTGTTATATTCAGGGGTCACTATGACAAATCCGTTGGCCGCCTGGATGGATGCGTGGGTCGTTTTCATCCACTCGGGGGCTTCATCTTGGTTCTTCATGAAGTGGAGTGGCTGGTGGATGTGACCGTCTTGCATTATCAGAGGGTCTGGAAGATATTAGGGGGGGGGGGGTTAGAGAAAGGGAGCGGGTTTTTAAGGCCGGATATAAAAAAGAGAAGAGAAAAATGTCTGGTGGTTTGATTGGTAAAAAATAGTTTCTAAACCTTTGGAGAAATAATAAATGAATTTATATATATGGTGTTCGGGTTTGAGGAGAGAAAAAAGAGAGAGAGAGAGAGAGAGAGAGAGAGAGAGAGAGAGAGAGAGAGAGAGAGAGAGAGAGAGAGAGAGAGAGAGAGAGAGAGAGAGAGAAAGTGTGTAGTATTCTAGAGATAAAAAGGCGCATTTTAAATCCTTGGAAAACCGCGTATGTCATGAGAACAGAGCGAAGATAATATATGAACTTAATAACACATGATAAACAATCAGCTTAAGACAATAAGTAAGAGACAGGATAAAATCTTAAGCTTTTTTATGGCGTGCAGTGAGATAATAAACAAGCTTAATAAGATATGATAAACAGTTAGATAAAAAAAAAAATGACAGACAAGACAAATTTCAGCGTGCGTCGAGAGGGCGTGGCTGCCTTTCATCCTTATCACAGTTGAAGGCTGTTTAAACACGAACTTTTAAACACGAGGGAAAAATTGAATAAAGGATAAACAAAGGACTAACTAAAAAAAAAAAAATCTGCCTAACAAATATGCAACATTTCGTCTTTGTTTTTGGAACTGTATCGATCAAGTGTTGTGGTTGTTACAGCTTTCTAATTGTTATTTTAACTTATTGTAACTGTTGTTATTGATTATTACTGTGCTTATTGATGTTGTGATTGTTATTGACATTGTTATTGTAATTTTTGATAGTGTGACTGTTATTATATTTGTTAATGTGATTGTTGCTATAATTGTTATTGAAATTGTTGTTGAAGGTAATTGTTGTTGCTGCTACTATTGTTGTTTGCAAATATTGATCAGTACACGTAAAACACAAGCGAACACAGACTAGACCTGAAAGTTCAACGAAAAATAAGAAAAAGCAGTCGACATTGAATGAAAAAGCCGACAAGCTATTAATAGGAAAAGAGGAGGAGGTAGAGAGGTGTGGGAGAAAGAGAGGAGGGAGGGAGAGGGGGATAAAGGTAGGGAGAGGGAGGGGAAGTAGGTGGGTGGGCGAGAGAGAGAGAGAGAGATAGGAGGGGGGGGGGAGATGGAGAGTCCGAGGTAGAACAGGAGAGCTTGAGAAAGAGAAAGAGAGAGAGAGGGGGGGAGGGTGGGGGAGTAGAGAGAGACAGGTTCAATAGAGGATGACAAACAGGTTGATAAACTGAGTGACGGGAAGATAAAAAAAGAGAGACCAGAAGACAGACAGAAATAAACAAGACACGCAGATAGACGGGAAGTCATAAAGAAAATAAAAAATCAGTTTATTATAAACTATTCCAAAAGATATTTACAGTGAATCTGCTATCACAATCCATCCCAGCTGATGGCGTCCTAAAAAAAAGTCTTCCATTACATTATTGACCTCCAGTGTTTGGACGAGTAGTTGCCATAGTAACTGTCGCGTTTCTTTAACCCCTTTTCTCCGGTAGCGGATCCTATAAATGCGCGATCTGAACTTCTATACCAGTCAATAAATTCCGAGACTAAAGAAATGACAATCTGTTCGATCTCTTTCCCCCTTCGGTTACTGCGCGCGGGGACCTAAAAATTGTTCCTCTGCCAAAGTAAACACGTGTTAAAAGAACTCCTTTTTGGATGTCTGCCAACGGCCCTGAGTTTCTCTTGTTTCATGAAAAAAATAATGGGAAAATATGAAGAGAAAATGCTTTATGGTCTATCACTTCGAACGTTTATACTTGTTTCTATATTGTGGTAAAAAATCGAAGTTAGTTTTGAGGGATTTTTTGTTTTATCTATAATCGCTGTAGCCAAGGAATATATACATGTACGAATTTTATCATATTTATTCATTTTTTAAATTTCATTTTATTATTTTTACAATGTATTTCTTTATTTTATTTGTTTTTTGTTTTTTGTTTTTTGCCTCCCTTCACTTCTAACAACCTTCACGACAGATTTTCTCCGATTCCTCATTAACAAGAATGACAAGAAAGCGTCGCGGCCAAGGATGTAATTTGCGCACACATCTGGCCAAGACTGAATTGTGACCCTGAAGAAAGAACCAGTTTCTGTAAGCCTTCGAAAATACACCTTTTCATTATAACCCTTTTAAGTAAGCTACTTAGGTACCAAATTTTCCTAGCATTTTTTAAGGGCATTATATATAGAGAGTTGGGCTCGGTAGGGGGGGGGGATTAACAGTACATGAGATTACTTAAAGGTGCTTCTCAAACTGTATTATATTTACTCTTACAAATGGATTTTTCGTTAACAAGGACTCGCATGATTTCTCTCTCTCTCTCTCTCTCTCTCTCTCTCTCTCTCTCTCTCTCTCTCTCTCTCTCTCTCTCTCTCTCTCTCTCTCTCTCTCCTTTTACATTTGATACAATGCCATCGGTTGCTTGAAAATAATGAATGAAGCTGAACGAACACTGTAGTATCATTACTGTTGAAATATAAACTGTACTGTCGTCGATGTTCCCGTCGTATCTAATAATAAAAATAAAAGCAGTAGTAGTCGTGGTAGTTATATTAGTGACTAGCTAACAAATATCAATATTACTAGCAACAAAAAAAAATAACAATAGTCGTATTACATCCTAAACCGCATATATGGGTACACATGTATGCGTGTATGTACCCACTGAACCGCATCCTACATTCCCACCAGTCAGCTGTGGCCTTAATAAACACCAAAGGGATTCCTATTCACTCCCCGTCGCCAAGCAGATGTCTCAACCACTTCAGGAACCGAGTCTTCTCCTTAACAAACCTCCATTGTGTCTCTTCGGGAATGTTCAAGGAAGTGTTGGTGTTGAGGACGCAATTATTGTCACGTTTGTGGAGGACAAACTCTAAAATATATTAAAATGACACTGAAATGTTATTTCATATTAACTTCCAACGGGTAGTATCATATTAACACTGAATACACACACATGCACACACACACATGCACACACACACACACACACACATGCACACACACACACACACACATGCACACACACACACACACATGCACACACACACACACACACACACACACATGCACACACACACACACACATGCACACACACACACACACATGCACACACACACACACATGCACACACACACACACATGCACACACACACACACACACACACACACACACACACACACACACACACACACACACACACACACACACACACACACACACACACACGCACACGCACACATATATATTGACACGCTTAAATGAGCCTAAAATAATCTCAGGTGTAATAATAACATTCAAGAAAGACAATCTACACAAAAACCAATTACAAATATAAAACGAGATACAGAATTCATTACGTGAACAGAACCCCATATAACACAAAACATGGTTTCAAATATAAATAAACAATTCGTTCAAACCACAAAACCTTCACACGTTCACGCAGTTACCAAGAAGTCACAGCTTTCACTCACGGCTTCCTCCCACAAACACAAATCATGCACGCGTGAGAGAGAACTCAAACATTTATCTCTTTCACTCTATGTCAGTCGTCCCCTTTAGCGCTCTCGTCCTCCCTCTCTCCGTCTCTGTCTCCCCTTCTTGCTCTACGTCTCTCTTTCTCTTCTTTCTTTCTTTCTCTCTCTTTCTTTCCTTTCTTTCTCCCTCTCCCCATCACCTCTTTCTCTCCGTTCCCCCTTTCTTTCTCTACTCTCCCTTTCTCCAAATTCAACGAACCTTTTTCTTCTAATTCTCTTTCTTCCTCTTTCTCTCCTTCTCCTTCTTCTTCTTCTATCTTCGTTAACACGCCTCGCAATTTTGACAGTGAAGGGCAGTGACACCGACGAGTTATAATAATTTAATTATTATACAAATTCGATTTACTGTTATTTGTCTGTGTTTATGCGGTAAGGTGTGAAATTTAATGCTCACTGAACGTTCTTCAAAGAGACGCGTCACACCACCGGAAGTTTATCATTTATCAATTATCCGTCTCTTGTTTCCTTATGTTCTTTTATACGCAATTCCCAAAGGAAAATAGGGTGAATTATACACGCTTTTGTATTAAATGTCTGTTAAAACGCCACGGTTAAGCGAAAAACGTCTGTTATCATTTGCTATAATTTCCGTGACTAATATCGCCAACGAGCGCGTGACCTTGAGAAAAAGATGATTATTTTTCACAGTTCTTCGTCTTGTCTGCAATTGTTTCGCTCAGAGGCATTGCCATATCATGATACGGTAATAATTCTGGTTTGCGGCGACTGAGAATCAGCATTTGTATATATGTTAAAAGTTTGTTGTTTAATAAGGTATGTTGAAAATATACGCGGTATTGATCAGCGGTGACGTCATACTGTCTAAACATAATGCCGGTGTGAGTCTAACGTTACTTACTTGAAAAAATAAAAACATAAAAATATATATCATTACACCAAATAAATTCATTCTTATTATTTTTTCATTCAATTTCTTCAAATTTCATTTCATAGTTTACGGGAAGCGGTACAAAGTTCTTATCTCTTTCCACATCCTTAAAAACACTCATACAGCAACGATGACATATAATTATCTTATCGGTATTTTAATACCTGTAAAAAGCAACTAATGCAATATTCATTATTGGCACTTACTCTCTTAGCGTTAAGTGTGGCACTCAAGAGATAGTGTGTTTAGATAAAAAAATATTTTAACCTCTACCTTTCAGAAATGTAAAATAAATAAATAAATAAATAAAATAAATAAATAAAAATAAAATTATGTAATTATTTTTTTTCTTATCAACGTGAAGGTGATCTATGCCGAGTATGAAACAGGACAGAATTCAATAAACAGAGTAACCATCGCAATTAGATTTGTCTTTGCTTTACCATTGGATACCAGCTAAGGAATTCTTTCAACTCTCGCAATGTTGAATTCTCACATTCAAATGACCAGAGAAAATACAAGAATCTACACAGAATGCGAAATATGGCAATCTAATAAACGGAGAAAGTGTTATATTTACCTTCTTTACATTACCAGAAAATAACCGTATTCTCGTTGGCAAATGTTGAAAAGGTATGAATGAGAATGAATATCTTCACGATACAAGAGATGTATTTAACCGGTATTGTATTGTGAAGATATTCTTTCGCATTCATACCTTTTAGAACGAAAAAAGTTGTCACCTTATCATTAAATACCATTAAATGCTTATAATCATTCTTGCACTGTTCAAATATTCAAAATGGCAATGAAAGTAAATAACAGAAGGTTACATAACGTAAATGACATACCGCATCATTACAAACATGGGACTTTTTATCACTTACCCACAAGATCAACTTGATGTTCCTTCTCCTTAAGCATATTAATCACACACTTGGCGACATTTTCACCCATCCTTCCCTCTCGGGTTGAACCAAGAAATACAAGCAGACGAAGTGACATGGTTGATATCTCGTTAAGTGTTCGTTGTCTTAAGGGAGTTGTGTTAACGCTGTCAGTCGTGTCTTCTCGCTGTCTGTCGCGTAAG